CTAATGTGCCTGTCCCAAGTTAGGAGCCTGTAGTTCGGTGGTTGTCGTTGGTTCATGTCAGTCATATTTGTTTTCGTAAATTGTCTTGATATAAACTAGGCCGTATTTTTTCTCAATTGAATTGTTTCATATTTCCATGTCGGGGACTTTTATATCAGACTATACTGTATGAGTTTTTCTCATTGCTGAAGGCCATACGGTTGCCTATAATTGCTTACATCCACTTCATTTGATCTTTGGTGGATAATTGTCTCATTGGCAATCATACCACATCTCCTTATTTTTTTATAATGATAAGAAAGGAAGATATAACAAAAAGAAAATTTATATTAAGCATTTAAAGTTTAACCCATTGTCTTATTATATCTGCTTAGCTGATTTCACCATATTACCGAAAGAAGTTGGATAATTATATATAAACACTGACAATAGGTTACCCATACTAGTATAGATGCTAATCTTGTTATCCAATCATTCCTGTCAAAGAGTATTGAGGTTACTTAACAGATTTAAATATGTCCTAATTCAGACACTAATGCCTCTTTATCCACTTAATCATTCTGTATTTATAACTTACGTTATTGTTCTGGTGAAGTGCTGATCAATATATAAGAATACAATATTTGATTAGATCAGAAAATCAACAAAGTTAAATAAAATAACAAAATATAATGTAATTCTCTTATCCTCTTTTAATCTCAACAATAAATTCGGTAATATGGTGAAATCAGCTAAGCAGATATTGGTGTCTTGAATTCTATTGACAGCTTCCGAAATACTTATTTGTAACTTAAAGCTGGACTAAATCACTACTTTACTTTAAAATTCATGACCCAATATTTTTTTACAGTATAATTGCACCCCCCCCCCCCCCCCCCCCCCCATTTGAGGCATAAAACATGAAGAGATAAATTTTTAAACACACTGTCCACACTAGGGACGATATTTGTAGACGACGAAAATCAAGGGACGATAACTCTGTTCCGGACCATTTGAGAAAATCTTAAAACAAATATATTTTGTCGAATTATCTTTGGATTAACAAGAAAACGCCTCAGTGGTCAAATGAAAGTATGATCGCTTCGTATGCTGAAAGAAGTGAGTTCGAGTGCCGAATGCAAGTAGGCGTAATTCCACCAATCATTGTACGTCACATCCGGTTTCATACGAAAAAGGGTTCAAAAAATATACTATCATGAATGACAGTTACCTTGTGAGATAGCTCGTTGAAACTCAAAATCAGTTTGTCGGTCTTACATAAAACATATGGCATATTCATACCTTACTTGCATGTTTCGCCCAAAATATGTATGAACTATTTGCCGCTGAACATTTCTAATTCATCAATCATAAATCAAGCAGTTATGAACTTGTACAATGTCTGCATGGAAATAACTACTAGTATTGTATTATCTACTTTCAACTTCCAAGTTATAGATCTCATAATGCTTTCTGGTTTATGGTTTATCAAACAAACACAAACATGCCTAAAAATGCATGTTCGTGCGTTAGTTATTATGTTGTGTCGGTATGATTTATGTATCCACGGCTAATATGCATAAAACCACATAAGTTAAGATATCAAATCGTAGAACTAATTAATTAATCGTAGGACATGTAGAAAAATATGTCCGTTCGGAACAAATCTTGACTTAAGTAGTTTTATGCATATCAGCGGCTATCTCGGCATTCTCTTGATAATTACACATTTTGAACTGTATGATATACTTTTGTATATTGTGTTATCTTTTTAGCAGGTTGTCAATATACTTACCGATAAGACCATATTAGTTTTCCATGTTTTAGAAAATTATTTTAATTTTATGAAACAAATACAATGCGGACGATCTAACCTAAGGTCTTTACTCCGTATTGCAAGAATATATACTATTTACTTTTAAATCGTTTATTTCAAATTTACTTCAAACACCTAATTACAGGTGTGAACTAGTATGCACATTAATTGATACTTTAAGCGGACGGACACATTATAGTTTGACGTATTTCTTGACGTATATGAGGGGAAATACGCTATTTGAAATGTGGGTGGGTTATAGAGGGTAAAAAAGTGAGAATTTTAGATTTAGGGGGTACAAACGTGAGAATTTCGGATTAAAGGAGAAAAAGTGGAATCTGGGAAAAAGAAGGAAACAGAGTGGGAAGTGAGAAAAATTAAATAAAAAAATCGAGCATCCCTGTAACACCCCCTCGTCTAAGGAAATTGAAAAGTAAGAAAGACACGTCTCGTTAAAGTATTTATTACATATACTACCATTAGACGTTCGGAGGTGTAAATGAACATCTCAATAGCTATGCAAATATTGACTTGAAAAAAAATCTAAACTGTCGTCATTCAAATTAAATATTTAAATACATTTTATCGGTTTGAGATGGACATGGGTTACAAATTGCACTTTAAATACAATAAAATCAAAATACCTTTGAAAAGGTATACTTGAGATTGTTTTGAAGTACTTATCTTTATCAAGTGTACTGCAATTCAGTAAGTTATTCATGGAGATGACAGTGATTAAAATAAGAGGTAAACACATGTGAGGGTCTGGATTGGGTCCTTCATTTCTGTATTCTATATTGTGTTAGGTCATTTTGCTCTATTTTTTATATTTTTTGCCCATTATTCTATATTTTATAGCACACTATTATTCTCTATTGTTTAATTTCTTGCCGTATTTGTTTTTATTCTAAAAATTTTTGGGTCCACTTTTCTGTACATCTAGCCCATTATTACCTATTCTGTAAACGCCATAAAGACCCTCACGTATTACTTACAAAAGATATCAACTTGAAAGAAAGCTGATGTTTGTTTGGCAATGTGAAAGATTTCTGTACGTGTTCATTGCGTAGCATTAGATTTGTTTGTAGAATGAAGCACAAAAAGTTTGCATGCCTTTTCCAAATCATGAAGTGATTTCAGACATTGGCTCCAAAATGAACATACGGGTACTATTTTTCGTATTCTTTAGCACTTCGACAATGACTATATAACTGGAAGCAGACTTATTTCGTTTTTCGGTTACTGGGTAATATGAAGAGATTATACTTTTGAGAGTCAAAGAGCTGTGCAAAACGAAAAGAAGGGGACATTTATATAGTCTAAAGTTTGATTTTGTCAGGTTTTTATTGACATTCCATTTTTAATTTCTGTATTTTGTTAGGTAAATTTATGCTTTAATAAATCATAATAAAATTTTAGAAAGTCCTCCTTTCATAGATAAAGTTTGCATCATACGAAAATGGAGGAAACCCACCAAGGGCATTAAACAAATGCAATTCAATCAAAAACAAACAGCACTTTGACCAAAATAAAAACAACAACTCTCAACAAAAATTACACACCAAAAAAACATCATGGCTCTCACCAAAAATTAAAATAGGGTAAGTAATTCCTACTTTTCAATATTCATTTGTTCATTTGTAATTTGGCTTTTGATTATTGGTTTTTTTTCGTGGACCGATATATTACGACATTAGCAGTCAAGTTTTGAAATCTTTGAAATTATGGAAGGCAAAATATCATAAAAAAAAATTTAAAGAAAGACGCCTCAATGTCTAATTGATTTAGTAATAATTGTAAAATAAAGTAATAATTATATAACCATAATTAGACTCAATTGTTTGTTTAATTATTTGTGGGTTAAGGATTACATTAAGATGTTAAAGAACGATTATAGGTCAAGAAGATTTATTAGAAATATCCAGTTACGTACATCATCATTTTTACTGAACACGTAAAATTGTCTACTACATATGTTGACCTTTGCAAAAAAAGTAATATATCCAATAGGAATAAAAAAGAGAGTCAGACGAGGGGCGTTGATATAGCAACCAATGCCAACAATATACAAAAATAACAAAAACGATACCTATAGGTGTATTTTTATAAATGCAGACGAGTATTTATACAAAAATTTCAAACTCTCAATCGTTCAAAGTCGAAAATTGTTGAGTAGAATAAATTTTACTGATACCATTAAACTTATAAGATTAACCATCTATTATAGTTGCTAACTTCTGAATCATTTGGTCTCTGATGGAAAGTTGTCATACTGGCAAACATACCACATCTTCTTATTTTACACATCAATGCCATCAACGCTTATCTCTCCATAACAAAGAGTATTAAGAATGTGAAATTAAAAAAAAAATCTTGAATTTAGAATTGATACCATAAGTCAGAGGAGCATTAGTTAAGGAACAAAATAAGCTAAAAATATTGATAGGTTATGGAGCTCCTTTTTGGGGCATTTATTTTTTTTTAAATGGCGGGAAAAGGCTGACTCGGACTTTTACCTTATGTTTGCATTATGTTTGCATTGGTATTATTTGGGTGTCAAATCGAAAGAATCGAAATATAGAATCTGCTAAAATTTTGGTAAATGACATTTTATGGGCTATTGCAGTTTTATATGAAAAAAAACAAGCAATGGGTGTTATGGGGCAAAATATTTTACTCTGTATCATAGGAAAAAACAAGGAGGTTCATGATATAGGACAGGTTTATGAATATGTTGGGGGGGGGGGGGACTGTTTAAAACCAATAATTATCTCTTGTTGTTTTTCTTTTTTTTTTTCTTTTTTTACTTTTCTCTCAAATCTCTCAACAATATTTACAGTGAGTCCTTTTTTTAAACATTAAACCGGAAATTCCTGGGGTAACTACGATTGGCATATGGTAATTCTCTTTTGTTAAACGATTGTTCTCTGTTTTTTTTTGTTTTTTTTTCTATTATTTATACATTTCAGCAAACATCAGAAAAACACATGACCGAACACAAACAACTTGTTAAGATGCCTTCAAAGTTAAAAAAAAAAGAAGAAGAGTAAAACAAAATATTAATGTAGCCTTGTATATTGTATTAATACTAATCCGCATAGTTTAAGATAAATTTATTTTATTTTTTTTAACAAAACATTTTTTAAAATATAATTAAAAAAAAATAATTATACTCAATTTATATAATAATAATATGCAAACTTACCGCAAAGTAGAAGTTCCACAAATACTGAGTACAGAACCAAGCAAAATCCCAAGTTAACGAAGAATTCAAGAAGTATCCAATTCAAATGCTATATCTATAAATTTTATCATGTATATTTAAGTCACTTTGAAAAATTGTTTTACACAAATCTCTTGAACAAATGGTCTTTGATGAATTAAAATCACCGATAATTCTATTTATTAACTTAGATTAAATTCAAAGTGGGCAGTCGAACAGATTAATTTTTTATATGTATTTAACGGTAAACAATAGTATTTGTTAAGGCTAAGCTAACTGTACCGTATTGGACGTTTAAAACACGATGGAGTACCAAGTAATTAGTATGTCAAGAAGACATTTTATTTTAATGCTCCAATCAAGCGTAAAATAAATTTAATTTAATTTATTTTAAATTACTTTAAAACAGAAAAAGGAAATTCAAATGCCGGAAGCTTTAGTAGAATAATACTTTCTGAAAAATAGCTTTTCTTTTTAATTTAATTTGAAAATTTAGTTTAAATCAAAGAAAGATATTGTGTCTACTTTTATTTGCCGTAAGCGTGCATGTATATATAAGATTTACAATTACCTGTTAAACATTTTTGTTAACAATTTTGTATAAATAAATAATAAATAATGAGGCATTTTATAAATTTAGCTATTCGTAATTGCATGTACATGTATCACAGATAGCGAGAAAAAAAACTTATGGTTAAACCGTTAATTTGGAATATTGTTAGGATTTTAAACCAATTAAGTATTTCCATAACGTTGTAATTTTAATCACTGACCTTATGATATTGTATTGGACGGTGAAATTTTATTAAAATAGGTTATGTATGTTATATAAATAAGAAGATGTGGTATGAGTGCCAATGAGACAACTCTCCATCCAAGTCACAATGTGTAAAAAGTAAACAATTACAGGTCAAAGTACGGCCTTCAACACGGAGCCTTGGCTCACACTGAACAGTAAGCTATAAAGGGCCCAAAAATGACTAATGTAAAACAATTCAAACAGTAAAACCAACGGTCTAATTATGTATGTATGTATGTATCTATTTTAAGGGGACTCGGTGGCCGAGTGGTCTAAGTTGTTAAACAACCGTAGCTCTAGCCTGTCAACACTGAGGAGTAGTAAGCTTAACTAGGATTGTTATTTTTCCTGCCGAAGGTCAGTGGTTCTCTCCGGGCACTGCGGCTTCCTCCAACAACAAAAAACTGACCGCCACGAAATAGCCAATAGTGCTGAAAGTGTCATTAAACACCAATCAATATATTTTAAGCAAAAATACATGTACATAAGGAAAGCCGTGTATTATCATTTGCAGGTTTTGTTTTTTTTATGTTGACCGATTTTGTGATTCTTTAAAACTACGGGCATACTTTCCAGTCACGTGACAAATGAAATCTGACAACAATTTAAAATGTTTTGGTTTGTGATCTCAAAATACACGCGAAGTCCGAGATTGCAATGACGTCTGACAGTCTTTTTGGGACTTGTTAGGATCGTGTTTCATCGGTCTTCAACTAAATGTTATAACGCGTTTGAAAATGCAATTGAAGGTTTTAAGTTATATCGTTTGCTTACATATCAACTCCTGCAGGAACACTTTTTGCCACTCGTTCTGATGAGACACCAATAAAACGACGATAAAGATACTCGTCTAGTCTAAATTTCCACATGAATGTGTGAAAAAAACATGAACGAATTCTGTTGATCTATAACTTTTACTTGTTTTGTATACCCAGAATACCAAAGCTAAAGAATAACAAAATATAACTATATTTTTTATTTAGTTTGAGCACTCCTGATGAAGGTAAATCTTGAAAAGCGCCTCAAATGCACCAAATTTAATGCGTTATTTTCATTTTACAGCTATGGTTCGATACCGCTGCTGATGGACTGCTAGTGCTCGAAAATATCATCTACATAGATGTCAGTATTTCGGTACTGCCATAATTCATGACAAATTTTTCCTTAATTCTCCGTTCGTTAATAAGTTTGTAAATCATTAAGAAATTGGGTTCTTAATCCCTCAGTCAAAGTTGACCTTAGTTGAATTTCGCTATTCCTTTATAAGTCTCATTTGGAAATAATGCTCCTCAAACATACAGTTTCTTGTGTACAATTTGGAGTTTAGTATGGCGTTCATTATCACTGAACTAGTATATATATTTGTTTGGGGGCCAGCTGAAGGACACCTCCGGGTGCGGGAATTTCTCGCTGCATTGAAGACCTGTTGGTGACCTTCTGCTGTTGTCTGTTCTATGGTCGGGTTGTTGTCTCTTTGACACATTCCCCATTTCCATTCTCAATTTTATCTTCCTATATCTATGTATATATACTAGTATCCCACGCCCTCCATCAATATTATCTCCCTAACATTTCATGTTTTATATGAATAAAGGCGAGCTATAGTTTTTGACCTTTTGATCTACTAGTGGAAACCATCGTCTACTTGTACAAACGTTGAATTTTACTTTTGTTTCTGTACAAGTGTCCATACAATAAGAAGATCTGGTATGATTGCCAATGAGACAGCAATGTGTCAGATCCGAAACTACGTGGATGTAAGCAAATATATGTAGTCAGCGTACGGTAGGAGCTTATTTCTAACATTTACGGTAACATTTTGAATAATGATTATTTGATCACCACATAAACAGTTACAATCAAAGCAAGTACCAAAGTTTGTTTATCTTTTCTAAAGAAAATTTAAATTTACCAAAAGAAAATAAACTCGGGCTAAAGAATATTACACGTTTGAATGTAACATCTATCGGCTGTTATTAAATTAAGTTCGATTCTTTTCGGTTTGTTGTTTATTCATATCAAAAATGATGAACAAAGTTATACTAGGTTTAAATAATTTATTGTAAAAATATGCCTTTAGTACACGTAGATTGTATTGTTATCGGAAATAATACGAGTTGCAACTTTTCTATAGACCCTTTGATTGCGACTGTATACAATATACAATTTGACTAGATACATTACAAATGTGTAAACATGTAATACAAATATAATATGTTTTAATATACATGTAGCTCATATACACAAGAACATGCACATTCATATTATATTAAAGAATTTTGATTTCGTTATTAGATAAGAGCATATCTCTAATAAAGATCTCCTGATATTTGTTAATACCTATATCTAGCATGATTAAAACGACTCGACAAGAAAAACATCCTACATTGACTTAACTGTGGTTCTTCTAACACTTATATTCAACAATTATGAAATATGAGTAGTTGCATAATACAATATCAGGTACAAGAAAAGAGGCGAAGAATACCAAAAGGACATTAAAACTCATAAGTCGAAAAATAAACTGACAACTCCATGGCTAAAAAAGAAACCCGGCCACGTCCACTTGTATTTGTAGTATTTGTATATTTATCCATCTAATGAGTTAAGCCTCTTTCAACTGATTTTTATAGTTCGTTCTTATGTTGTACTGTTACACCACTGTCCCAGGTTAGAGGGAGGGTTGGGATCCCGCTAACATGTTTAACCCCGCCACATTCTGTATGTATGTGCCTGTAATTCAGTGGTTATCGTTTGTTTATGTGTTACATATTTGTTTTTCGTTCATTTTTTGTACATGATAAATTAGGCCGTTAGTTTTCTCGTTTGAATTGTTTTACATTGTCATTTCGGGGCCTTTTATAGCTGACTGTGCGGTATGGGCTTTGCTCATTGTTGAAGGCCGTACGGTGACCTAAAGTTGTTAATTTTTGTGTAATTTGGTCTCTTGTGGAGAGTTGTCTCATTGGCAATCATACCACATCTTCTTTTTTTATAAAGAATAGTACACAAAACAACATAGAAAACCAAAAACAGAGCAACACGAACCCCACCAAAAACTGGGGTTGATCTCAGGTGTTCCGGAAGGGTAAGCAGGTCCTGCTCCACATGTTATATATGGAAATCAATAAGAACGACTACAAGATTCAGTTTTGACTATATATCAAAAATGACGAATCCTTAAATTTGGAAAATGCAGTCCTCGCCTTCTTAATTTTCCTTAAGATTTATGCAAAAAAAAATACAAAATTAAAGTATACATCCTACCCTGCTGACTTTAAAAGCATTTCACATTACCCGTGTTATTCCAGAACGTGTCTTGTGCACCGATAAAGCTTGTATTCATTATTTGTTTTTGCTTCAGAACGAGTTTGCTTACATGCCAGTGGCAAATATTTCATTTATATCCAGAACGAGAACAATGTTAATATATCTTCAACATGTAGTTTCTGCAATGGTGACAGCCACAAGAAAATAAAAGTATGCTTGAAAAGGGCGGACGTTTTGTCTTGCAATAGTCCATCAGACGTGGTATCAGTATGATACCATTTACATATACATTAAATACTTCTTTGTTTTTTTTCAAATGCCAAAAAAAAAACTGTCACCAATGCATTGTTATAGTTTGTTAGTTATCTAAAATTGAGAATGGAAATGGGGAATGGGTCAAAGAGACAACAGCCCGACCAAAGAGCATAACACAGCCCCAGGCCACCAATGGGTCTTCAACACAGCGAGAAAATCCCGCACCCATACATCTGTTTTGTTTGTTTGTTTGTTTGTTTGTTTGTTTGTTATGTAGAATGTTTCTCTTTGTCACCAATTTAATATTTCATTTTATGTTTGAATACCCTCTTGTACACTGGTCGTGTTATTGGCTTATAAAGTGTCAGATGGTTGAGTTACACGAACTATGCAATTTACGGCGGAGAAAATTTTAGCGCATTGATAGGACATTTCAATCATGTACAACAAAGATGAGAGTCATGATAGTCCACAAAGTGGTGTCCCTATTTAGACTTCTTATTAACGTGTTTTTTTTTTTTTTTTTTGTTTTTTTTTTTGTATAATGCAATGGGTTGAAACTAATTTAAAATTAACAGGTTTTGTTAAAAGTCCATGATAATGAGTATTGAATGATCACTCTAGCAATTGTTTTTTTTTTTAATTTTTTACATTTTTTTACGGTTGACTTCCCCCAAAGACCTGGTATTTGCTTACTAAAGAGATGTAGATGTCCATTTCCAATATTTATTTAGGTAAAAAAGGGGGGCAATACTTTATTGACATGTCTTATGAAATTTCGTATTTATATTTACAAGCATGTTGTGTCACACAATTTTAAACTTCAAGTTTTATACAATTTTATGATTGTCTAATTTAAAAAAAAGTTAAAGATGGTAAATACATTTCTTGATCATATTTTTAATATATATACAGTATCCCAAAAGAAGGTGAACATTTCAGGTTACTATACAACATATGAGTAATGTAAATTTGACGTCAGTCTTTAAATGCCCTGGCTAAAAATAGTATTTCATACAGGTAATGGGTTTATCATTGTCTATTTTAAGCTATTACAGGTACAAAATGTATATTATAATTCTATTTGTATATATAACCGATGAGAAATCTCCATTTGGTATTGTTTGATAATAATGACTAAGAGTAAATACAAGCTTACTAAGGTTTTTCTACTAATTCAATCCGAGTTCTTGGAAAAAGTCTTCACTGGGTATAAATAGGACTAATTTTTAAAATTGTTATCATAGTAAAATTGAAGACGAGAGATTTCGCAAAAGATACATAAACAAGTAAGTTATTTGATAATATTATTTGCCTGTCCTTTGCAATATAAAGGTTAGAAAAATAATTTTTGAAGATATGGATGTTATCTGCGTTTAGTATATAATTAGTACAAACTAGTAAAGTAGTTTGTTTTAATCATTCTAAAATAGAAAAAATAGAAAAAAGGTACAATTTCAAAAAGGTTCTTTATATTTGTATTTATGTACATGTGTATAAAAAACCAAATCATACTTTCCCGCATTTTTTTAAATGAACAAGAAACGATTGTAAAAAAGAAATCCCATACCATATTTTAGCAAATCTGAATAACGCACTATCGCATATTTGCATTTGCAGATATCACTAGAAATAAAAAAGACAAAATGAGTTTCAACGAAGATATCACTGCAGTTATAATTGACAACGGTTCCGGAATGGTTAAGGGAGGTTTTGCCGGAGATGATGCTCCAAGAGCCGTGTTCCCCGCAGTTACTGGACGACCAAGATATCAAGTAAGCGTCTGTTATTCTAATGCCTATTATATATTTTATTTACACTTTATAAAGCTGAACATGAATTTCAGTATATCAAGTATAGTATACGTATGAAATATGCTTTAATATTTCCTTTAATAATATATCACAATTCAATCAATCGCTGAAACGCCATGACATTTTTTTCTAACATCCGATTCCTAATAAATAACGTATATTGTATACGGTATATAAACTAAAGCATTGATTGATTGTTTCTTGTTTTTTGTGTGTGTGCGCTGTCAAATATCTATGCATATTCAGTACGAAAAAATATTTATCTATAACTCTTATAAGTGGATTCTGTATAGTAGAACTATCGAGATTAAACGACCGGCACACAAAAGCATAACATATATATGTTGGATATTGGGCAAATATTTTTTGCCTTACAACAGGCACCCTATGAGCCATTTTAGGAGTTGTTGTGAGGGTTCTTTATTAGCATGCAAGGATTTTTCTTATAGGAGACAGGATTTAACGTCCCCAATTCTTACAGGACTTGACTGCGTATTTATGTATCTCTTTCAGTTCTATACAGACGCCATTTTTGTACCACGGGTTTTACTGCCGGATGGAAAAAGTACAAAGATAACCATATTTATAGATCTGTCAACCCTGTCGTTGTGATACATAAAACAAATAATTGGCCATTTTTTTGTACTCAATCAACATATATTTTTTAATCTTTCAGATGGTAATGGCAGGCATGGGAGGAAAAGATTGTTATGTTGGAGACGAGGCACAAAGTAAACGAGGTATACTTTCTTTGAAATATCCCATCGAACATGGAATAGTGACTAATTGGGATGACATGGAAAAGATCTGGCATCATACGTTCTATAATGAACTGAGGGTGGCACCAGAAGAACATCCGGTTATGTTGACTGAAGCACCGATGAATCCAAAGGCAAACAGAGAACGAATGACACAGGTAAAATATGTACAGATGATATGTTTTCCGAGTGCACAGAATAGGGAACACTATTTCATCGAGACAAAAAGAAAAGACCCACATTTTTCAAAATAAAAAAAGAATGAATTAAAAATGTTTGTAAGCTTACAGAAAGAGCAGACAAATATGCGGATTCACAGAATGAAAACTTGAACATTTTTCGTATGTAATGAAATAATTTTGTTCTGATATTTTTGGAGAAGTCTAAAATTGAAACATACAAGTTAAATATATTATTAAGACATGATACTATGGTGTATCAAAATATGGCAAATAAAAGGTTTTTGAGATTTTTACTAGCCTTGTTTCTAAATGATACTTTAATATGTTTAATGGAACGAACCAATAATACGAAGAAAAAAAACTGTTGGACAATGTTTAAAATAAATATAAAATTCATGTATGTTTTCACGATAGCTATTTTTATATTACCAATTTTCAGAAACAAAACGTACGTGCATGTTCTTATATATTGTCACCGACTTATGAGGGGCGTAAATGGGAGGTATCTGCACGGAAGAACGCGAAATAAAATTGCATTTTCACGATGAACGAACAACTAAAAATTTCTTGCACGTACATCTTTTAACCGATTTCACGAAAAACGATGAATAACGAACCTTTTTAACGGCTGCACGTGGAATAAAAAAGGAAAAACACGTTGCACGAAAATAACCCTTTACCACCCTCACTTATCTTTTTGATTTGAATGCTTATAATCATCTGTCATTTTAATTCCAGACAATGTTTGAGACATTCAATACACCAGCATTTTACGTCGGTATCCAGGCTGTTTTATCCCTGTATGCATCAGGACGAACAACAGGAATAGTGTTTGATGCAGGAGATGGAGTTTCTCATGTTGTTCCTATATATGAAGGTAAACAAACTACAAATGTAAAGTATTATTTAATGATTTTTGTGATACTTATCATGAAAAATGATTTTTGTGATACTTATCATGAAAAGACAGTCCTTAATTGTAAAATGCTAGATGGACTTTACTAACGTTAATATTTTTAATTTCATACTCATACTATACCTGATCTATTAAAATAACAATTAATTGAATCCTTTTTTTTTCTTAAAAAGTCAAAACCTATATATTTAGTCTTTTTGATTTTGTTTTTAAATAAAAACTTTTTTTCATGCTTTGCTATAAGGGTCTTCAATGCAAATGACATTATTGGAATTGTCAAACTTTTTCAGATCATTTGAATAGTTATATATAATAATTGTATATTAATATTGTACATGTACATTTTTGTATATATTGAATATTGTTTATACCCTTAGGGTACGCTTTGCCCCATGCAATTAAGAGACTAGATCTTGCTGGACGAGATTTGACGAACTACCTACAGAGGATACTTCTTGAAAGAGGATACAGATTTACCAGTTCTTGTAAGTAGTTTTCCCGCTTTTATACATACAGATGTACTATAATACTTTTAACAGAGCATTAAACATTTGCCATTTTTTTTATGTTGTTATCGTTAACAGATATTTAAAAGAAGTAACGATTCAACGAGTTAATAATCTGAACAAAAAAATAAACAAACAAGAAAAAATAAAGAAATAAAAATCCATTTATTTTCAAAAAAGTTATTAGTACCAGACTTGAGACTAATGCATTGATGTTTGTGCATTGTATTTTAGACAACAATCTCGAAATGCACGATGTGTTTACCTTTTATTTATTTTTACTTTAGCTGAATGGGAAATTGTTCGAGATATAAAAGAAAAGTTGTGCTACGTTGCCCTTGATTTCGAAAAAGAACTAGATGCATCTGCCAAATCATCTCAAGTAGAAAAGAGCTATGAGCTACCAGATGGCGGTGTCATTACCGTTGGAAACGAGCGATTCCGGTGTCCGGAAGTCCTGTTTAAGCCATCTTTTACTGGAATGGAGGCTGCCGGTATACATGAGATGTTACATAACTCAATCACGTCAACAGATATTGACATCAGGAGAGACCTGTATAATAATATTGTCTTGTCTGGAGGGTCAACAATGTATCCAGGTGAGAACATGTTTTAAGCAACATACTTACAATCTAGGGCACAAAGTTCATATCCATTCAGTCCGTGTTATGCAACACTGCACTTAAACTATATAGCATACATGTAGCATGGAACGGAAAAGATAAATATGATCCTTGTGCCGATGATTGATATCAAGTGGCAACGTAATGAAAGAATATTTTACACTGGATTGAATTTTGAATGTGCTAGATTTAAAATTTTGTGAAATGCACTATTTGGTCCTTTTCGGACAAATGTTACGTGATGATTTGACAAAAAAAATTCATTTTAAGAATATGGAGATCAATTAGAGAAGAAACTATCAATAAACAAATAAAAAAAGTCGCTAATTTGTTGAATGTTACATGATCCATTCAGAATTAAGTTAATAATTTGAAATGGCATTAACAAACGTGCATACTCATAGCTTTTAAGGATGTTCGCTCCTTTGTCTCAAAATATCAAGCTATTTTGCAAGACTGTTATTAATTGATAGTATATATTTAATGGAACTTAAACAGTAGAAAAAAACGACAGGTTCGAGTCCGTACTTTTGAAATATAATCGATTGAACATTTTGGCGGGAAATGATTCTCTCTCGATTTTTCATACATTTAACATTGACACTTTTATTCTTTCAAAAACTATGAAAAAATAACAAAGATTTTATAATTATTAAGAATCCTTTACTTTTGATTTAGGAATTGCAGATAGGCTGAAAAAAGAATTGGACGCGATCATTCCAAATTCGATGAAAACAAAAATAATTGCTGCCCCAGAACGGAAGTACTCGGTATGGATTGGAGGATCCATTTTAGGATCACTTGCTACTTTTGGACAAATGTGGATATCTAAACAGGAATACGACGAATGTGGACCCAGTATTGTTCACAGGAAATGTTTCTGATGTTGATGTAGATATACACAACAATATATAGTTGTATGTGCAATAATATTACGTATTTGACGGATTGGACATATTTGACCATTGGGCTTTCGTGTGAATAATTGTAAGTGATACATTCTCATTCTTATTACCACTGTTATTCTCATTGTTGTTATCATAGTTATTCTCATTGTTTATTGTTATTCTCATTGCTATTTCCATTGTTATTCTCATTGTTATTATCTATTATCATTGTTATTCTCATTGTTATATATTTGTTATACAAGAAATAAAAGTTTTATAATCATATAATTTTGTTTATGCACGCCTAGACATTTTTTGAAAATTTGGAAGGACATTATAAATGTACATGTATGAACAATGCAAATATTTAGATTGGACTGCATAACAATTTAACTTTGGTTAGAAAATTTGGCACGACATTATACATGTACATGTATGAACAGGGCAAATATTTCGGGTTGACTGCATAACAATTTCGACAATCAAACAGGACGGAACTGAGTAATCGAGGGAAGAGGTACATGTACAATTAGATAATCTATATCAAGAATAGATGCACCACTAATGTAAAAAAAGAAAAAGAATACACAGGCACGGGACAACCTTTTACAGCCCCCAAACCATAGGGGATACTATCCGTAAATCAAAGGAATAGAAATGTGATGTGCTTTTTGACACCAAATCCAAACACGCACTTGTCAAAACAAAAAGCGAAGAAACAGCACTGTTATAATATTATTGTTTTAATATCACAGCGAGGCGTTCAACAGGGAGCGAAAGCGTACATTTTACTACAATATAAGCTAACTGAAAGACAGACTCAAGCACCGGGTTGAGATCGACTGGTACATGTACATCTGTGTAAAATACTACCTACCTATCCTCTTCGCTCCTGGTGGAGCATAAGGTCGCCACAAGTGTGTAAAATACACAATGCATGAAATGAATAAAAAAGTAGGTTGTTATCAAAAGAATTTAAAAACAAATTATTTAAGTAGTTTCAAATCAATTTAACAGTCATGAATCTCAGGTTTAAAATAAATTCAAATGTTTTGGGTTTTTATATAAATCGAAATTTTGAATATCGTATATCTTTGTTGAAACAGCTATTTGTTTTTATAATAATTAAAGTTATATTACAATGTTGATTGATGTACCTCTGTTTTTGACATTTTACCTATTATATATAAAAAAGAAGATGTGGTATGATTGCCAATGATGAGACAACTCTCCACAAGAGACCAAATGACACAGAAATTAACAACTATATAGGTAACCGTCCGACCTTCAACAATGAGCAAAGCCCATACCGCATAGTCAGCTATAAAAGGCCCCGAAATGACAAATTCAAAAAACAATTCAAACGAGAAAACTAACGGCCTAATTTATGTACAAAAAATAAACGAAAAACAAATATGTAACACATCAACAACCAACAACCACTGAATTACAGGCTCCTGACTTGGGACAGGCACATACATACAGAATGTGGTTGGGTTAAACATGTTAGCGGGATCCCAACCCTCCCCCTAACCTGGACAGTGGTGTAACAGTACAACATAAGAACGAACTATAAAAATCAGTTGAAAAAGGCTTAACTCAGCAGATGGATACAAATAGAAATACATACAGCAAAAACACAGAGTAGACGTGGCCGGTTACTTGTATATCCCAACAACAAAACGACACTTATTACTGATTTGAGAGTACTCGCAGTTACTGACAGCTAGTTCAAAGCCACTAACAACGTATATGTCTGTTTCTTTTGTTCACACACTGTTTTCAATATACTGATGGAATTCTATGCGACTGTCATACAACCGATCGAGAGGTTTTAAATTAGCTAGCTATAAAATCAGGTTTAATCCACCATTTTCTACTTCAGGAAATGCCTGTACCAAATCAGGAATAGGACAGTTGTTTTTCATTCGTTTTATCTGTTTAAGCTTTTGATTTGGCTGTTTAATAAATAAATTTGGTGTATTTGCTGTCTTCTGATTGGTTAAAAGTATTACATTTATTTTCAATGTTGTTAATTTTTATGGGGACACGCCCACTCTGACGTTGTGTATTCATACGCCAACATGTGTGTATGTTGTTATTGTTAATATAAATAATATAAAAAGCTCTTTGAGCCTTATTTTTGATTGAAATTTATTTATAATAAATGGCTATTATTTATTTTGAATTTATTGAACCATAACATTAATTTGGCTGTTTAATAAAGGACTTTCCGTTTTGAATTTCCCTTGGAGTTTGGTATTTTTGTCATTTTACTTTTTTCGAATATACGAAACCTTTTTTAAGTATTAGGTTGCACTTTGTGAATACAGCTGTTTCATAAACCACGACTCTATTCGGGAGATATATAATATTCAAAGATATTTTTGAGATAGAATTTAAACAAGGACACAAAAAACCTAACTCAAACTGTGTCGTATGAAAGCAACAGGAAACACAACCGAAGGACAAATAAGCGAGTGTTCACACATTGTATTTGTAATAAGTAAACATAATAGTAGTCATGTAGAGGCTGAACTATTGTCATATGAATTGAGAACTATTATAAATATATCGTTCTTCAAACGCTTTGAGTACACACCCGTGGCAAAATATGATTATATTGTTTGGGCTGTTCCGATCATACTCCTACGTCATATGCTTTATTATGAATGAGCTACCCGATCATAAACCAGACAGCTTGAAGGACACCGGATTTTAATAAATTGACGAATACAATCCATAAGCATAAATACATAAATAAATCATTACAATTATAAATGATGACTGAATGATGATATGCTGTATTTTTAGGTTAAACACCAAATAATGACAAAGTCTCTACTAGTATCATGATAGACGATCCCGCCGGCCAGGAAAAACCAACTAAAACGAGTTAACTCGATCAAAGGCTACATTAAATACTAAATATTTAGTGGGAAAAAGTTGGAAACCTGTGTCCAAACCTAATGCTCGGAAGACCGTCTCAAGAGGTATACTTGGACAGTATAAAAAAAATGAAATAAATATAATTATTCGAAACAAAAACATAACTAATTATGAACAAAAACATGAATTAAAACTAACAAATTATACATATCTAAAATATGTAAAAATAAACTTGACACTACGACTGTTGGATAGAAAGTAAAGGCTTTCAAAATATTTTCCCGCACATGAAAATTTTCACGTGACTAAATTAGAAAATGTATACGCATCGTTAATACAAATGTTTCCGGCTATTCTTTAAATCTGCCATGCCTTTTAATGCATCGTTCATTAACTTCTGAACTAGAAGCAGTGGTCACCCCACCAGCATGTAAGGAATGTAAACCTAAATTCAACGTAGGTGCGACTAATTTCAGTCTTTTCAATATATTTTCTTTAGCCTCTGTGTAACTTATTTTCTTTTTTTTGTAAATAAGTTTAGCTATACATTTATGCCTAAATATAGGTCGAAATATATAAAATTCTGAATTCAGGTTCAATTTAGCCAAATTAATATAATTCTTGAAAATACTGACTGGACATGCTATAGTTGTTCTTTTAACTTATCGGCAATATGAATAATTATATGGTTTTGTTTTTATTTAAGCCTATGTATTTATGGGAAAGAAGTTGAGGTAATACTTTGTTTATTTTAATATAATGAATTTCTTTTTATTTGCACATGAACATTATAGTAATTTATACACATTATAATAAGATATATACAACAAATTAAATAGACACAGCTAAAATATTGGCGATTACAACTGATAAAAGTGTATTCAAAATAAAGTTACTTAACTTAACTTTAATTTCATTTTCTGAAAGGTAATTAAGTACAGACAGTTTAGAATTTCTGTTTCTAAATGCACCCCTCATGTCCGTAATTGACGTCAACGTGCATACAGTGTTGTTTGGTTATTGCTGTCGTTGCATTGCTGTATCATTAACGTTAACTCTATTTCTCATGTTTATACTGTCGAATATCTTTAAATATGTCTTTTTGCTATTCTTAATTGCATGTACCTTGGTTGCTATATAGACGTTTATCTATCATATATTCAGTACTTGTTATTGCGAGTTTGAGTATTTGATAAAGATGGAAACTCCAGACCTGTATTGTACTTTTTGGAACATCTCGAGATTATATCTGGGATTCCTAGAATGTTATCCGCTTGAAATTACAAAAGACGACAATGTTGGACAAGTAAAGCCTCTTCATGCTGCCGGAGGGGCTCATATGGCCATATATTTAAGTTATGCAAGCACTTAATCATCACCGCATCTCTTTCAAATAAAACACCGAAGATAATAGGTTATCAATGTTACGTCATCAAGGCGTGACGTCAAAGTCGGATATATATGCCGTATTTCTTGCTCGGGGGAGGGGGGGGTACTTCTATTTACAAGGTGATAGGACGTGCCGCTGGAATAGGTCACCTTTTCAAGCTTGAAAATATGTGAATAGGTCGGGAAAACTATCCAAAATATATGATAAGGTCAATAAAGTTCCCATAACTCCTTCGTCTGTCATCTTTCTTGTTGTTCCCGTCTGTGTTTTTATCAACCAATTTTTCTCTTTTGACACTTTGGTATTCCACTCTTACATTACATACCACATGGAACACAGACATTATGGGAAAAGATTACATTTTTACCTACGCAATATATGAAAAGGTATACATTTTTAAAATCTATATTATATGAAAAGGGTGAACAGAACCCAAGCGGCACCCCGTATCAATTAAGTATTTAAGTAGCCCCCCGAGATTTCTTGGCATGATACGAAATGTAGTAACATCAAATAAGCGATAGCAAAAGAATTATTCAGCAGTCCGCTTACATGTAGAAATGGGTAAAAATTAGAATTAACTACAACCGTTCCTGAAATTTGTTGTAATTGTACATCGTTTTCCTGACTTACTTTACATAGTTTAAATCAAAGAAAAAAAAATGATCATCTCAGAATGAGAACAATGCGGTTTTTTCTCTCTCCCCCTTTTCCACTAGCCATTGACTGTGGCTGAACATTGGACGAGTTATATACACTTCGGCACCGAGACAATTCGGTGCCCGGACAATAAGGCATCCGTGAAAAACATTTTGGGCACCCGAGAAAGATAGATCAGTATCAAGACAAATCGGCACCTAAACAAATCGACACCGTATATAAAGTTACTGTTTTATATTACACTGTACAGCTTTCAGACCTTATTATTTTAAAACAACTAACTTGTGATATAAATTTTGTGGCCACATTCTATATGATACTGATGTAGGTTTTCTAAGATTTAATACAA